TCGTACCCAGCTGGAAGTATCCTAGGAATTTGGAATCGCCAAGAATAATATCTCCAGGCTTTGGCAACGATTCCAAAATGATAGTAATGGGAGTAGACGTTACAGCCCAGGTCACCTCGAGTTACAACACCGAATGAGGACCGGTATTTGGCAGTTACTGCCAAAAGAAACAGACGAAGAACCACATCAGACCTGTCTCATCAGCTTTCAGCACCTGCTGCGACAGTTTCAAGGCAGACCGCATACAGACTCTTAGGGCAGATTGATCTATATCCTCGTAGACCTGTCAGATGTGTTCCATTTACTGCATCTCACTGTCACCTGCGGATAGCCTGGAGTAGAGTGCATGTATTGTGGACATTGCAACAGTGGGCATGTGTGATATTTTCCGACGATTCCGGGTTTAGTTTGCAATCTGATTCTCTCCGGACTTTCATATGGAGAGCACCATGTACCTGTTACCACCCAGACAACATCACTGAACGACACCGTTTCGGGGGTGTGGGATTGTTCGTTTGGAAGAGGGAATTATTCTGGGTTCAAAACTGACCTATATGTTAAAACTGGAACAATAACAGGCCAAATATATCAGTACGTCATTCTTAAACAATATGTACGTTTGTTTCGGGGCGCCATGGGCACAGAATTTGTGCTTATGGATGACAACGCCCATGCTCAGCATGGAAACATCATAAACGAATGCCTTCAATCGGAGGATATCCCCCGTATGGACTAGCCAGCATTCTCACCGGACTTGAATCCAGTAGAGCATGTGAAGGACATGCTTGGACGAAGAGTTGCTGCCCATCAACCACCTCCTACATGTCTACTGATACTTCGGAGAGCATTGCTTGATGAGTGGTGTAATATTCCCACAGGTTAGATTGATAATTTGATACTCAGCAAGCCTAGGTGTTGTACGGACTCTATTGTATCGTCTGGGAGATATACTACGTATTAACCATCATACCAAGCATGTAATATTGGCTTTTGTAAATGGGGGGGAAGAGATTTGCTCCAGGGAGCAAAAATTGCAGTTTTTATTAATGATATCAAACATATAGCATTTTTTTTTTTTTTTGCTCTTTTCCTTTTGTTTAGTAAAAAAGGCTTTACAAATAAGTCGCGTTTGTATTGTTTCTGACTCTTTCTTTGCCTGAACTTGCATTTTCCTTAATTTATGGACATGAGTGCATATAAAAAACTTGCCCTAAAATTTCTAAATCAGAAAATCAATTAGTTTTTAAGATGTTTGATTTTTCTGAGACTGGATTTAACTTCGGTTTCATTTTGAAGCATTTTTGAGTTTGTAAATTGAATTCATTAAAAATATTTTTGAACACAATCCATTTTTCCAGTGTGAAAATATCCATTAACTGCAATTTTCGCTATTAAAATCATTTTTGTTTGCTTATGCTTCAAATGTTTTGAGTTCTCTCTTAGTTACTTAATTAATATTGGTAATTAAGATTAATCACTTAATTAAGATTAACTAAGACCAGTATTTATTTTTGCACATAGTTAATACACTGTCACAAAAAATATATGCACCCAGAAGAAAATCAGCTACTATCACTAAACTTGGCAGGAATGTAGTTTCGTAAGAGATATGCAAATGATTACAATTTCGACGCCAACGAGACAAGGATAAGCTGCGCTACTGGGAGAGTTGGAAAGCACAATTCCTCGTGGTATGAGATTCTTCAAACAAATCTGTGGACTTGGATGGAAGGTATTTTGACTGGAGATGCTTCGGAGACTTAACCTGCGACATTACGAACATTTGTTGGACTTTGAGAGTGGGAATATAGTAGGCCTCAAAGAAGCAAGTTGGTCGAACAGGCGTATTGGCCCCCACTTTGGTGAGAGCGATATGGCAGTTGCTCGGTGTTGGAAACAATGGATCACAGAAGGGATAGTCTACCGCCGTGGAGAATCAGAGCGTCCCACGAACAGAAATACACTCGGCGATTGAGCAGTCATATGAGTGGCGACGTCCTCACCAACCACGCCGCTAGAATCAATTCGACTCCATTTACCACCTTCCAGAAATCCGGGGGTATCAATGGAAACCATTCGGAGACGATGGGCTGACGCAGGTAAAAGGAGTGGATGATCATGACTACTGACCCATCACAGGCCGCTCAGATCTGATTTTTTCAGACCTCAAGTAAGCTGTAGAGTGACCGAATGGATGCGTGTGATCTTCAGCAATGAATCCTAATTCAGTCTCAATGCTGATAACAAGCGTATACACGTGTGGAGGCGGCCAGGCCTGGTATTTGTTGTTCAGAGTCATACGGCGATTACGCAAGGTATGACAGGGTCGGGAGAAATTTGTTGGGACCCTCAGTCATCTCTAGTTGTTCTTCAAAGCATTTTAAAGGCACGCAGTTACATGGGTGAAATTTTAACATGAGTTGTTCCTGCCTTTGCTATCATGTCACCTAAGTGTCATTTATCAGCAAGACAATGCTACTCCGCATACTTTGCGACTCTTCCAGTAATGCCCTTAAGGATATGACGTACTTCCATGGCCCCCGATGTCACCAGACCTCTCGTCAATAGAGCCCATCTGGGACCTGATTGGATGGCAGCTACAGCTATCCCGGAATACTCGTAAATTATATAACTGATTTGTATAAAAAGTTATGACATGATCTTTCGCAGGGGGTCATAAGTGACTTCATTGATTCGATTCCCCGTGGTGTTTTGGTTTGTATAGCTAACAGATTTGGATTTACTACCTACTGATTTGTAACTTTTTCTATAGCCATATCTTCTTAATAAAACAACCTTTTCTTCTGAATTCGTAATCCTCTGCTTATCTCGTCTCCATGTGTCATGCTTCGTGATAGTAGTTCTTTCTTTTCTGTGTGTGCATGTATTTTTTGTCTCTCTATCTCACACAGAGTGCATAACTTTGAAGCTTTTTACTTTGCTGTAATCCATTTTTCGTATTGAGAAAATGCCACGGCCAAATCGTACTCAGGTTCCCATGAGAAATAATATTTGGAAGATACGGAATACGTCTGTAAATGATAAATCTAAAATTCATCCTTCAACTGATACTACAATGAGACATTAGAATACAAATATTACAGAAAGAACTGAATATTTCCATGATGTATACCAAGCTACATTATAGTAAATATATTGCATTACTATATAACTGTATTTTAAAGTCACGCAGCGAAAACTTACACTTGCTAAGCTTCCCCGATTTCAAATTGAGAAAAAATTAAATATTATTTACAAACTTGGGGATTTCTGACTTTAGTTGTATCATTTTTAGTTTGTGTATTAATAACTTTTATTTAGAAATTTTATGAAAGTATTAGGTTAAAATAAAGCTGAACAACCTGTCGTTGTAACAAATGCTTTCAGCATTATGTAAAATCATATTTTGAAATTAAAAAAAAATGTTTTCAGTCATAACAAGGGAAAGTAGTGTTTTAATATAGGACACAAAAGGTGGAAAATAATATATCAAAAATTAGAGCTTTACAGGTATCATTAATTTTTGTTTTATGCCTTTAGAGACTTTAAATGTCTTTCTCAGACTTTCAATTTTGAAGATATAAATATTTTCTAATCTCTAAGGTTTTATTTTCTACTTAAGATAGTCTTGAAATTTTTTGTAGAAATTCCCAAAGAGTAAACATTTGTATGGAATTAGGTCTGAGAGCTGTAGTTATTTGTTTTAAAAAATCTTAAATTTAATTTTTTAAAAAATATCTTTTTTTCCCCAGGTTTAGCTATAAAAATAATTATGAAAACAAGAGAAAGCAGATTTTCATACAATGCCACACTAACTTTTGTTTCCAATCATCTTAAAAACACATAAATCACTTAAAATAATTTTAAAAATCTAGCATTTTATAAAAGTAAAAAAAAATTAATTTTTTAAATTGTGAAATAATAGCTTGACAAACTGTCATTTTATTTTCAGCATCAATTTAATTATATAATCTGAATATAAAACATTAATTAGTTTTACTGTTACTGTCTCCAAGAAGTTTTTTTTTTTCAAAAGGGGTACTGTGTGTGTTGCCTAAAATGAGTAATTATTTGCTTATGGAACTTTAGGAAATTTTAAAAATGCTATATTATAAACAAATATATGAATTAAAATGCAAACTTTCACAAAAATTGACACATTTTTTGGATCTGAATATGTGTTCTGCGTTTAGTTCAGACCCTTGGATATTGGGTAAGGACAGCCTTAAAGTATTTAAATTTAAGCGTGGTTTACTGTGAAACAGTAAATTGCGCCCAACCATTGTTCCACTATTGCTGAATTTTGTCAATCCAAGTCAGCCCAGTTAAAGTAATGCTTGAAAATAATCCATTACAAGCATATAATTATTTTTAATTAATTCATGTAGGGATATATTGTAAAGTCTGCTAAAATCTTCTATGAAACTGTTATTTTAGACTAAGTGGGGATTGGTTGATTTGTGTTATTTCTCTGATTCACGTTTGGAAACACATAATTGAATATCACTCTAGTCGCACATGTAAATTTTAAACTCCTATAAGCATTATCATGTTTTGAAATACAAAATTTTTGTTATCAGTTTTTCTTATAGTTTGTCTTCCATAGCTGATGAATCTTGATAAATGAGGAAATTTTTGTCAGGAATTACGAAAATTAGAGGTACTTTTTTTTTTTTATCTTCAAGTAAATGTAATTTTCTTCTCCTATGAAATTCATTTTAATACACGTTTTGTTAAGACTATTTTTCATCTTAAAAAAGTAGCATATTTATTGATTAATACATTATCATTTTCAACTTTCTTTTGAAAACATGACTCAAAAGATTAACAATTTGGTTGTAAAGTTATTGCAATCTATGATTTTACTGTTGTGCACAAATCAAAGTAAATTAAACCCAATCTGTCTTTTTATAAACATTTTGCAACGTGTGACCTTTCAAAACAAAAATGTAACTTTGCTTGAAACAATCATATACACAAAGTGATAGAATTCCAACGCGAGCAGGATGGCCGAGTGGTTATGGCATCAGACCCACATGTGGAGGCGCGTTTTTCCGGAGTTTGTTGTTGCAGGTTTACTATTGCGTGCTTAAACCACGAAATCCTTATGTTTACAATTATTAGAAGAGAAGTATATTGCCTCTTTCTGTTTGGTAGCTGTGCCCTACTGAGTCTAGTCACGAGCCCCGTGAAAGTCACGTCGCTGATTGTTATCTGAGGCACAGCTAATTGTACTGTTGATAAAAGCATGAGTATATTCACGTAAGTCTCTCAAGGCGACTACGTGCACACACTCTGCAGTCAATCCGTTTCCGGAAAATACACTGAGAACTACAGAATGCGCCTTCCTGGTGTTATCTGATTCGCATTCGCGAACGTGGGTTCGAATCCCGCTCCTGCGCAGCTTAAATTTTAAATATTTTTTGACATGATCGCACTTCAGAAATTTTTCTTTCATTTTTTCACAGGAGGGTTTTTGTAATAAAAAAATTCTGAATTATATTCTTTTAAAATTTTGTTTGTTTTTGTTCAATCACATCATTAAATGTTTCTTAAAAGAGATTTAACCCTTTTATCTACCGACGGTACTTATAAGTACCACTCACTTTAAAATTACATAGAGTAACCCTTTTTACGAATACTCTGCCGATACTTAGCAAGAATATTCTTTTAAATCCCCTCTTCCAAGATATATGGCCGCACGGGTTCTATGATGAGTATTTTAGTAAGAAAGGCGAATAGTTTTATGGTAGAAATTGCGTTTTTAGCTGATGGCATTTTCAGTGGATTGGCGAAGATTGTCATTTTTCTTCCGAAAAAATAGTTAATGTCAAAAGGCAAGAGTCTTATTTTTTTTGTATGTTAATGAAGACCTTATGAAACGATTTGATTATTTATTTTTTAAGTGAACAGTGTGTATAATTAATTTTACAGTTGAATATCTTTAATTAATTAATTAGCTCTAACTAATTAAATTTCCCAAAGTTGAGTATTTTGTTTATTTATATACCTTTATTTTCAATGCAGTGATTCAAAAAAAATATTGCACTAAAAAAATGCAGTAAATCATAATGCAGTCGATAAAGGGTCAAACAAATTAATTCTAGTCCTGATGCTACTACAGACCCACCATGCTGAGGGGCTAATACACTTTAATCCTTTCGTAACGAATGTGTCATATATGCACCAGTCTCATCCCCCCTTATTAGGCGGTAGGCCATTCAATGCACTTCTACGTGAGGACAACCAATTCTGTAGAATAAATAAGAAACGTGATTCACTTTTGGTTTCGGATTTTTTGTGTTCTTGACTTAAAACACTTAATCTGCTTGTTATTTCACTTACTGGCACTTTTACGAATTCTGCAACTTTTTTAAAGTTAATTTCATTATCACGTACATAATTGATTGTTTCCTGACCAGTTAAAGCTTCAATTCTCCTTACTCCAAAAGCAACAGAACTTTCTGTTACTATCTTAAATAGACCAATTTCTCCAGTATGTTCAACGTGCGTGCCACCACATAGTTCTTTCGAATCACCAATATTTACAACTCTAACCTGATCACCATATTTTTCACCAAACAACGCCATGGCTCCTTCGTCTATTACCCGATTCATGCCAGTGCATCTCTCGACTGCCTGTGACATTTGAGGTGGCTGCATATGTGACACTCCCGTCTCTACAAAGTTTTCCGTTGATCAGTACGTCTTCGTGAAAAGGTTAAACCTGTTTTGGCTCAAAATCTTTCCTTTAGTGTCGAACGGAAATCAGGAAAGTGGATTCTCATCACTTGACCACGATACAAAAGTACGAGGTCCATCGCGAATAGCTCTTCTGTTACTTTACGGTGAGAAGTTAATGAGGACTCAGTCACATTCTTCTCATAATGGCTCACCCAGTTATTATTTCCATTTCTTTTGCTATTTTTTACACAGTTTACTTAATATCTTGATTATCATAGCAGTTTAATTATAACCTTATTTAAATAAAATTAGTTAAATAGAGTAAATTAGTTTCATATGTATTACTTTTTTTTAAAAAA